GGCAGAAAAATGCACATGCAATAACTGGGGCTATTGCAGGTGATCTAAAGAATGCTGATAAGATGAACAAACCATTTATGTTCTGCCCTCTTTAAAAAAGGAAATTGTGTTTCTTGACATGGAGGTGCTAATGATAAGAATAATTAATAAAATAATTATGATGACATGATAATAATGATTTTAGATAAGATAGAAAGGACAAAAGGCACATTTAAAAGACTCAATATCATTCCTTAACCTTGCAAACTTCACTTTGTCAGCTCATAATCCCTCTATAAAAGAGAAGAAGTCAAAGTCAGATTTATAACAGCAAGAATAGTCTCTAAACAGCTGGATTTACCTCCACTGACTCCTGACAACATTGGCTTTACCAAAAACCTCTGAAGCCAAGGTAGGCCCATCAAAGTTCAGAACATTTTAGAAAATGTTAACTTTAAGTATTTGGAAGTTATTTAACCCTGCAAAGGAGGTTTGTTTTGAGAAATTATATATTAGGACGTCTTCTTGGAGAGTATCTTCCTCCAAGACTCCATTGACATAGAATTAGCATATAAATACAAATTATTTAGTATATTTCATATTCTGTGTTGAATAACCACTTAAAAAAATTAGTGTATACTACTATATAATTGTATTCATTCATATGTTAATGGTTGCATATTCTATAACAGTGATACATTTCAAGCTTTTTAAAAGTCAATTCTGGTTATTCCGTTTTACTGCAATGCTAACAATGTAATAAAAAAAAAAAACAAGATTAAGCAGAAAAATGCAACAATACGGCCTACATGAGGAGGGGGAAACCCACTGACTTGACAGTTGCTCTGCAGACACTTACTGACACTATCCACATGGCAGAAAAAAAGCTACAAGTCATCACATAGGATGCTGGCTGTTTACAGAGTCCTGCACCAAACATGCTAATCAGTAACAGCACGGTGTTTCTATTCTTAGATGAAAATGTGTTCTTTTTTTAATAGTTTTTAGTCTTGTATCACTATGCTTTTGTGTGGCAGTTTGCTTTGCCAATGACAGAACTAACATTTTCTTCTGTGGGACTATATATGCAATTTCTATTAATTGAAGTTAAGTTGAAGGACAGAGTCAGATAAAGAAGATGAGGTGGTGTAATGGTTTCTGCACTGATTCTGGCCTGATCACTCAGTCCATACACCTGCTCTGCTCCACCCGTCCGCAATCAGCTCTGACCGGATTCACCTGTTTCCAGCACTTTAAAAACCCCATTAGATCAGTCCTCCGTGCCAGATTATCTCGAGCCAACGTGCCACGAATAGTCCAGCATCTAAAAGAGTACCTGACCGCCTATCTGTTTCTGACCCGATCTGCCTCCTGACTCCGAGCTGCCTGACCCCTGTTTGATTCTGCCTGCCTGATTACCCTCTCTCCTCTGCCTCTGGATCCCCAGATCTCTGTGTCGTTCTGATCGGCCTGCCTGCTCCCCTCTCTATGGATCTCTGACTCGGAAAAGCTCCGCTAAACTGCCTGCTTCTCCATCCTGGATCTAACTGGTAAACCTCCCTCAATCTGCCCACCTGTCTACCTGCAGCCTGTTTGCCCACACAGATTCAGCCCCGCTATCAGATTAACCCTTTCAATAAACCAATCAAAACGTCACTAACCTGTCTTGGTTTATTTGGATCCAGTCTCTCTCTTATTACAGGTGGTTTGGGTTTTATCTGAAGCCAGAGCTTCAAAAGCCAAAACAGAAGCGTTTTACCTGCCCTGACAAGAAAGAGGAAACCACTATTGCACGGTGGTCCTTGAATGAATTTAAATGTTGATTTTTATTTGAAAATCTAAGTCCCTGAGAGGGCAGGAAGTGAGGAAAGGTACAGAAATCAAGCTGCTTGAGGTTTCTGGAATTAGAGACAATTTGGGCAGACATGTTTACTGTTTGATCAAACCCAATTCTGTGCCAGAAGATACCAACAGATTAAAAAAATAATTACAGATTATGAATAGCATTAATTGCATTAAAAATGAGAGACATTAGAATAAACAATGCAGGGTTACTGGCAGTTGGTCTAATATTAGACCAACCTGACCTTCGTCAGAGCCACAAGCTAATTGCCTCCTTGCAACGCAGCGTTTATCTATTAAAAATCAGCTCAAGTACCGTACAGACAGCGAGTATTTAATGGATTAACTTTTATTATATGCATGGGTGAACTTTTTAGTAGGCTAACAACTTTGAATTAAGCAACCTTTATTCATTAGTTTTAAGTGATATTCTAATTCCCTGAGAAAATGAATTTTAACCTTTAATTTGCCGTAATTCAATTTGATCAAAATGAAATGAAAAAAAAAACAAAACACAATGAATGAATTTATATGCATGCCATCCTCCTTAAAGCAGGAGTATGAATGTGGGCGGTACAGTTTATTTCAGGAGAACCATCGATGCCCCCTTTTTGCTCCAGCAGGAAGCTCTTTGGATCATGTTATGTTGGAGATTAATGGCCAAACAGGCTATTTTCAGGCTGAGTGCTGCAACCTGAGACGGCTGGCAGCTGCGTGGACCTGGGCTGGGCTGCCGACCATAAGCACACAGACAGGAAGACAGATTGGACACCAGGGTTTGGGTGTTCATTGGTGTGTTGGAGCGTGCATGTAGTGTATGCCACAGAGGGCAGGAAGTGAACGTGGACACCAGAGTCGTCTGATATTTGGAGAATCTGTCGCCTCTGATCACATGGTGGAATCTGTTGCATTGGGCCAAGGACAGGCCAAGACTTTCCCACAGTGAGAATTAGTCAGAAAGGAACAGACAGGCACAGTCAGCTCTGCATGTTCAGCAATCTCTGATTAAACACACATTTAGATATGTTTAAATAAATAAATCAGCTCTCAAAATGCAAGTTAAGTGCAGAAATATAAACATAGCTAATTTCTACAGCCTGATTCGTATGCTTATAATATGAAGTACAGCTGAATTACTTAACCTTTAAATCAGAAGGCCTCCAAAAAAGTATTCACAATATGCCAGCAGATTAGATTCGCACCACCGATGAAATATTTCTGAGTAAAATATCTATTTCTTAGATAAACTCAAGGACTGAGTGGTTGTGTTGATCTGAGAATCAAACAAGTGAAAGACACTGATGCTGCTGCTTCTATATTGAGAGTCAAGGAACAAGAATAACCTCTAAAAGCTTAATGGGAGCAGATGTGTGATGTTGGTTGTCCTCTGCTCACTATTCCACATCTTCTACTTTTGTCAGTAGCATGGTAAGACACACCAGCAGCCAAAATACATTGCCTTGCTGTGCATTTGGCCCTATTTCAAACATAACTGTATTACCAGTTCACAATTATTTTAGAAAAAAAACACTACATTGCTCTGCAGCCAAAAAACTTAATTTTTTTCTCCAAGAAATTTAGTATTTTAAAAGGCAAACTGAAATAGATTTGCCACACATTTACTCTAATTAGTTAATTAACTGAAAACATTTGGTTCCCTAAGCCTCTAATTGGTCTCTGTCTGGGTGAGCAGGCTACACATCTATGGTGACTAATGCTGACCTGATAGATTATCAGGAGATGAATGCTGACATCTTCCACCAAAAAGGGTGAGCCAGAAAGTATCAGGGCTAAGGAAGCTGGTGGGAGTGGTAGGACAAAATGCAGCAGGAAATGATCTGCTACTGACAGAGATAGCTACAGCTTTGAGTGGTTTGTCAAGCAAATTCCAGTCAAGAATTTTGTATGTGAGTTTTGTACCACAATGGATTCTACACAGTAGGATAGCAGGAAGGTGATCAGCCTATGGCTCTGCTGAGGTATAATAGGAGCCCAGGTTGCTCTGATAGAGGCTTCTTTTATTGAGTCTGATGCCTTTCACCTTCCTTTCAGCAATATTCCTTACATGTTCTCTGATGTTCAGGTCAGGCAGTAACATCATGATCATTAAACGAGCTTATGGTACGATTGGCAGTGTAGCTGGCAAAGAGTCTGCTGGAAAATTAAATCATAATCACCATTAAGCTTGCCAGCAGAAGGAAGCATGCATTGCTCCAAATTCTCCTGCTAAATAGCTGGGTTGACCCTTAAAGGAATAGTACACCCAAAACATGATTAGCCTTCATTTTCTACTCACCCCCATGCTGAACAACACTCTGGAGTACTTTTTTGATATCTCAAATGCATCTGGAGATTTGGGAGGCTTCTTGCTGTCTGCTGCCATTCAAATAATGGAGTTGCCCAGCGCCCGAGGCAGAAAGGCCCATAAAATTCCACAAAAAACGTTTCAATATTCCTCTATACTGCTCGTCCAATGTATTCCAAGTGTCCTGAGTGGGTAGCATCCAGAATTTACTCGAAACGAAGTCATTTAGAATGTTTTTAGAGCATAAACAGTAGTGTATAGGATTTCTTGAAAGCGCGTTCACGACTCTACGGAAACCGCGGCAGACCAAACCAGATGAAAGTGCGCATTCAGCTCGGCAAAGAACTCATGCTCTTCCTCAACACTGAAGTCCTCAGACATTTTTCTTTCGTTGTTTCTTTGTTTGCACAGGTAAACAGCACATTTCTTCTTCTACGCTTGCATTATTGGCAGAGCAGACGCAGATGCGCGCTTTCAGGAAATCCTATACACTACTGTTTATGCTCTAAAAACATTCTAAATGACTTCGTTTCGAGTAAATTCTGGATGCTACCCACTCAGGACACTTGGAATGCATTGGACGAGCAGTATGGAGGAATATTGACACGTTTTTTGTGGACCTTTATGGACCTTTCTGTCTCGGTCACCATAGACCTCCATTATTTGAATGTCAGCAGACAGCAAGAAGCCTCCCAGATCTCCAGATGCATTTGAGATATCAAAAAAGTACTGTCCAGAGTGTTGTTCAGCATGGGGGTGAGTAGAAAATGAAGGCTAATCATGTTTTGGGTGTACTATTCCTTTAAAAACAAAGGATCTACACCAGCGGCTCTCTATTCACTCTGAACTTTTAGGAGCATGGATTCTGCAGCAGTTCTCAATTCTTCCTCCAGACAATTAGACCTTGTATTCCAAATGAAATGAAAACTGCCATGGCTCGGATCTGAAGACCCAGAATTCAAAACAGACAGATTACAAAAGCGTTTATAAAAGCATGTTGGATCTGCAACTCAGCCACAAGGGTGTCAAAGGCAGTAATCTCTGTAAGGAGAAAACTCAGGTTAGTGACCATTTAAATTTGACAAAGGAGAATTACAAGCATGTGAGTCACTAACCTGGTTTTAGAGTTCAGTCCATGCCCAGAAATAGGAGTGGAATCCAGCCAGACCGCTAACAACAGCACACAAAACAGGAGTCCAGGGCAGAAGATCAGAGATCCAAAGAGGTACAGTGGGGAAATCCAAGTTGAAGTCAGAAGACAGATCAAGGTTCAGTCCACAAGCAGAAACCAGCAGGAGTCCGAAGACAGGTCAGGCGTAAAAATGCGAAAAGGAAAGAGGCAGGCTCAAAGGTCAGAGTGCAGAACAGATCAGGATTAGGCAATCAGAACAACAACAGGTACAATAGAGAACTCTCACCAAAGGCTCAAATAATCTCGCACTGATGACTGGGAGCAAGCAGGTTAAATAGAAGCAGGAGCAGTTGGATAAGATGAGCAGTGATTAGAAACTGGGTGGAGCAGGGCCGATGAATGGAATGAACCATTAAGGCAGTCAAAAGAGCCAAGATAATGACAGAAAATTTTACTTTCATCTATAAAAATGACATTAAGCACTCAGTAAAAATCCATTCTCTATTCACCTTAGCTCAGGTAAAACCCTTAAAATGAAAGATTAGGGAAAATGGTATTGATGGATCACTAATCAAATTTGTCTCAACATGATCAGTTTCCATATGGCAATTTTCATAAGGTCAATATTTCATTCATTAAGGATTTGTTAAAGTAAAAGTCAGGTCATATTCAGAAGTCAAACTTCTGAAAGTAATTGAAATATTAAATTATTACATACTGCTCAATAAATGATAATTTTTTTAATTAAGAGTATTTTTTATTTGAATGTGCTTTACTGAAGACATCCATGTTTGTCAAAGTACACTACTGCCACCTACCGGTTTGTGACATCACGGCGCGGATAGGCTGTTAAGCAAGTCCTAATGCTGTATCTGGTGTTTGTCACAACGCGCTATTATCCAAGTCATCTTGAAAACATTCTTCGAAATGTTGGCTACATATTACGTGTTTTTTTCTCTGGCCAGAAGTTCGATGGCAAATCCTCCCTCTTTAAGTTGGCAATCCAATGATCAGGACCACCATAATCCGTCCGTGGTGGATCATGAATCGGAAAGGTGAAATAACTTATTTTTGTTTTCACTTTTACCTAATGTTTTTCCAACATCCATGCCATACATGTGGGCATTGTCAGTTTAACTATAGCTCTCATGAATGTTAATGGTGATGTCCTCTCAAATTTCTTAAATAATTGTTGTTGATTGCAGATGCGTCTCATAGTTCCCATTGATTTTGCTTGTAACGCGGGGAGAGTGGCGCTAGGCTTACCGAACTGGGACATCACTTTTTTTTTTTTAGGAGTGAGGTGTTACTATATTTGGAAAGAAATGGCCACTCCCAGATTCAGTGATTGCGACCAAAATTATTAGTTTTATTTTTTTTACTGATTAACACTAAATCCATTAAATCACCACAAACATATTAGTTTTAGGCATAGATCGTGATCCATTGATCATTCCGTGCTGACCGGACTTTTCCTTTAAAACAATTTGTTATCAGGAGACTTCTTTACCTTCCCTGAAAAACATTTTCTCAAGCCAGTGGAGGTATTTTCCACTTTCTATTTACATGCAATGATGCTTCTCCATTAACAGAGTGTTTATTTTTTTTTTTATACATATACACCAGTAGTGCCTATAAGGGTTAACGTCACGTTAAATTTAGCATCTCAACTATATAAAAAGCCATCGTCATGAAGATTCTCCCCTGTAAAAAAGACTCAATTTAGCACCTTCTTACCGATACTGCAGGAATTTCTCCTCTGCTTAAAGGGATTGCTCTCATATTGATGATAGACACTAATGTGAGTGAGAGAGCAGTAATGCACATTCGCACAGTAGCAGACGTCTCAGCTGCTGTGCTATAAAGCTCACATTCACTATTAAGCATCACTGACATGCAGCTTAGACCACAACACGACTGGGGCATTTGTAGCTCATCATCTCCCTCCACACACAGTCTAGTACCTCCTGCAGGAAATGACTTGTTGACATCCTCATTCTCAATGCTGCATCTTAAGCTCTCCCCACAGATAACTGACACTAATTAGGTGAGACACACATGCAGGGAGTTTTAGAGAGAGACAAGGCTAGAATGGATGAGCAAAGGGAAACAGAACGCAATGGGATGAGTGAGCCGAAGAGAGTTTGAATAAAACCAGAACACCCTGTGAGCCCGTAATGAGATTACAATGGGGAAAGAACATTTATGATTATTTTGAATCCGCCAGAGAGCTTTGATTCCTAAATCGTGTATACTCCTCATTAATGAAACACTTGACATGCAGCCTGTGCACGTTTGCTCTGCCTGAACAACAAAGGCAGTCTGATAAGACAGAAATTGAATTTAAATGATACCCTCCCACTGTACAAATTGTTCGCAATTTAGGTTTGCATGTAAAATTATGGGGGCTGAATTACTGCCAATGAAATGCACTAAGGGTTTTCAAATCCTAGGCCTGGTGCACTATGAAATGGTTTCCATTGATATTTGAGTCTCATTGTGTCCGCTTAGGTGACCAACTGATTAGGTTCCCTTCAATGTCTTCCTTTGGTTGCAGTTTCTGTAGAAACTGCATAAAATGCCCTCTTTCAAACAGTATGGTTTAAAACATTTAATAAATCAAAAACTATTCAGTTGTGCAGCAGAATTGTTTGCAAAGTGACTCCAGCTACATCAATTTTTCAGGATATTTTTTGTAAATAGCAGCTCTATATTGTTTAGTTTGAGGTTCTGTGTGAAAGCACTGGGTGATCTCGCCATCAGGAAATGCAGAACAGTTCCTGGTGTTCTGTCTGGCTGCTTGCTCTCAGGGGTTGGAATATCTCTGCTTGGGTAACGCTTAAATTTTCAAAATAAACAATCAATGCTGTTTGTGTGTTTCTCTCGGGTCTCTGCCTTGCTGACACGCCCCTCTTCCACATCCTTCAGTTTAAGATAGTGAAGAGGAAATAGCAGTAGATAGGGAAAGCATAAAAGGAAGAGAGAACTGGCCGCAAAATCCCATTCAATAATTTTGGTGAGCAGCTCAGACAAAAAGACATCGGTAAAAACGGTGGTATCAAGCACAACTAGTTTAATGAGGAGGTTGGACTAACTTTACTAACTTCATAAACATCTGTTTTAAGCATTTACAAAGGATAGTGCACATTTTATAATGAGGTTTAAGAACAAAGTTTCAATTTATTTAATGCTGCAAAGTCCAAAAATTGAGATTTTTATTTATACTTCATAAACTGCCTAAAATATTATTAGTATTAATATCAAATACAGTATATACACATTTTCAGAGCAGAACACTAACACTTATCTTAGTATCATATAGATCTGCATCACCAAACATATAAAGGGAAAGATTTTTTTTTTTTGCCAATTGCCCAGATTAAAACATAGAAGGAAAAGTGCCTACATAGGAAACCTGACAAATTTAGCAAATTGGCAACAATAGCCTGAAGTAATCAAATCAAAATATATTTATGAAAAAAAAAACAAAGGATGTAAAAAATTGTTGGATTTGCACAAATGCACTATATTGCATGGTGTCAATGTAGTGGAAATTGTATTTATGGCACATAGAATAAAGACAGAAGGGGATTAATCCTTGAATCAGAGCCAGTACTTTGGTAGTGAAGAAGGACAATGCAGTAAGGAGAGGTCTGGGGTTTTAATTGAGTCTTATGGAGTCAGGGATAAAGTTGTGGTGTAACCTTGTTGTTTAGCTGCTCTTACAAAGTGGTTTCTTTCATGGCCTTAGAGGCAAGGACACTTTGATTTTATGCTTCAGAATAAGTTGAACTTCATTCATGATGGTATATAAACAAATATAGATGATTTGGAATGTAAATTTTATTTGGCTAAAAAATATCAATGTCAAGCTCTAATGTTGAGACATTAGTCCTTTAATCTTGGAGATGGTCTTCAGGTAATAGAAGGTCAAGTTTGTTACTGTCTTTATGAGCCTCTGGAGGTTCAGGTCTGAGTAAATCACTATACTCGGATTTAGAGCCTGACTAGTGGTTTCTAGCTGTAACAACCGAAGCTGTGTGCTAACTTTGACATGCTATTCCTTTGGTCCAAATATTATTACTTCAGTTCTGTTGTATTTCGGCTGAAGAAACTTTGGGCTCACCCACATGTTGATATCTTATATGCATTGTAGGGAAAGTTCAATATGATTTCATGGTTAGGAGCAAATATTGGATAGAAAAATAATAAAAAAAAAAAATCTTCTAAGATGTCTCATCATCAGCTCTCTTTTAAAGTATTGTGATCCTCCTGAGGAACCGGGAGTTTTCCTTTTTTATTAATGAATTGCAGAGGACAAGCCAAAATAAAAAGCCATTTTCTCTTTTTTAATAAAGGTATTTTACACAAACTTAGAATCTGTCTTTAGTGAAAGATGAGACCTTCTCCAAGGATTTAAGCACTGCATTTACTGAAGAGGCAAAGGAATTACATAAAAACTAAAAATAGTGCACCACATACGCCTCTGTTTTAAATATACGTCAGAGGAAATCCCACTGCATTATTTAAGTTAACTTAATGTAGCTTAAGGCTTCACTGGCACAGCTGTGCAAGCTCTCTGTAATGTAGGCTCACTTAGCTTGACCAGAAAGAAGAGCATATTAGGGTGTAGTTAAAAGGAACGATGTCTGGGTGAAGTCCTTGAGCTTTACCCTCTGTGACCTGAACTAATGGAAGTATAGGAAATAGATGGAAGGACTTTAATCTTTGTCTAGAAAGCTCAAGGGGAATTGTTTTTAACATTATGATGAATATTACTCAAAAAATGTCACAAAACACTGTGAAAAACTTGGCCCAAAATATTTTTACTGTTTCTCATTTTTGATTTTATTTATTAAGAGAGTGATCCATTATCAGAATACTTTCCTTTTTGATTTGCTAAAACTTCAGTTTTTCATATTCAAATTCATATTGATTCCTGATCAGTCATTAGCCCAGTGCAAAGCCAGGTCAAAGTGCAGAATGAGATCCTAAAAATGGATGAGTGGATACTCATTTTCTCACTGAAACATGCTCCAGCAGGGAGTATCTATTTGCACAAAGAACTGTGTTACTCAGCCTCCCTGCTGCTCGCTACCTTAATAATCCAGACATAGTCTGTCTCTCCTAATTTTACCCGTGTTCGGTACGCTGCTGTTCTGGTCAGTTGCAGAGTTTGACTGTGCAAACATACAGATAATCTAATGGGGTCAGAAAAGACTTGAGTCCAGAGCTCAATAAACTACAGACTGCAGCACAGTCATATTCAAGTGTTTCTTCCACGTCTATCCCTAGTGGTTGATACTTTATAGTATCAACCACATTATTGCATTATCTTCCGTTTGTTTCATGAAAACACACTAGATCAATAATTTTGCATGTGTCATGTAAACTCAAATCTGGCCCATATATAGTTGAGAAGATTTAACTTTCATGCCACAGGATATATAACATAACTTAAAATGAGTATTTACTCTATATCTACAGTCCAAAATAGATTTTAATTCTACAGAACAAAGAGGATAGGATGAAAAGGATCCATCAAACAACTCAGAAACAGATTTAGCTGATTCTAGAATAAGCTTCGACAGTCTGCCATTAATACATCACTGCTCAGAAGAAACTCATCTATGGCATGAGTACAATGCCATAACTGGGCTTTTCATGACTCTCAAACCACTCTAGACAATATACACTGTTTTTCAACAAGTACTGTATTTGGTTCCTTGCTTTCATGTACACATGACCCTAAACAACATGCTTTAATTAATACAAATGTTTTAATATGGCGTCCCCCTTTGTAGCAATAACACCTTTAGATATTCAGAGAATGTTGTGTATAGAGTTTAGGAGAGTGTTTATGGGAAAGTATGTCTATTTGAATTTTTTAAATACCTTTATTTGACCAGCAAATGCCCAGAGGAAGGAGTAAAATCCAGCCGGATGATTTTCCACAGCAAGCGGTGGACGCAGTGGCCAGAGAGCTCTAGGAGCCGAGGCCAAGAAGGCTGCAGAGTTGGCTGACGAGCAGAAGCCAGACTAGGAAGAGCAGGAGTTTCTTATGGATGAGGAAACAGAAGTCCTGGCCAGAAGATCAGAGATCCGAAGAGGTACTGTAGGGAGATCCAAGCCCGGCTCAGGAGACAGATCCAAGGTCATAAGTAGGCAGAATCCAACAGGAGTCTTAACCCCTGGTCTGCCCCTGGTCTTAATCAGAACAGGGGCAGACAGGCTCAGAGTTCCGAGAGCAGAAACTAGTCAGGATCAGATGATCAGAATACTAAACTGGGTACCCAAGAGAACTCTGACCTATGGCTCGAATAATCTGGCACTGGTAGCTGAGACCAAACAGTTTAAGTAGAAGCTGGAACAGGTCGGTCTGATTAATAATAATTAAAACTGGGCCAACCTTGGCAGGTGAATGAAATAAACCATTAATCCAGTCATCAGTGCCAATATCATGACATACTATCCCTCCAAACCAAACGCAGCATCTGACATAATACATTGAGATGGTGCTGTTCTCAAGAGAATACGTCTCTATTACTCTTAAGTCCAGTAATTGTGTGTTTTACACCACTGTGTAATACATGCACTTGCACTTAGTGATTTAAGGCTAGGATATAATGCTTTAGCCATGTAAACTCATTCTGTTGTCAAGTTAATCTGATGACACATGGAGGTCTATAGCTATTGGTGTTTATGGCATAAGAGCCCCTGATTCTGCTCATGCCATTCAGTGACTTTAAGAGTCCTACTGCTTTATGGTTGAGTTGCTTCCACTACTGTATGTTATAGTAAAATATATCATAAAGTTTGCTGCTCTTATTTAATGCTGCTTATCCCCTGAGAGTTTCCCATTCTTTCACAAATGTTTATAAAAATTATCTGAAAGGCTAGGAGCTTGGTTTTTACTCATGTGTTTTGGATTTTCACCACTTAACACAGTGTTGACTGGTTAACACCATGTTTGTACTGTAGACTCAAATATAGACCCAAACCCTACATGTATATTTGGATTTTTTGGAGTAAGCTGCAGAAATCCGGCCCTGTCTGTATCCTCAGCCTGCATTACTCAGGCCTGATATTTCGCCATCTTTCTTTTCAGAATTGGAAGGGTCCTTTAAAATTAGTTGGTTTATTCTAGGCAATTTTGGTTTTTAATGCAGAAGAGAAATTTCCAGTAGTTTTAAGGTCAGGGTCAGTGTAGGAATTTAATGTTGGCCAACTATAACCATCTTAAAACTAAACTAATGTGTGATCGGGATCATCACTTTGCTAAAATAACAAACGCAAAGTCTACCAAAAAAAAGGATTTTTGAATTTTTACGCTGCTGAGAAAATATTGACCATAAAGCCTGCAGAATGATATTTGGACTATTGTTTATTCGTGAATAATGCTAACATATGTTTTTTAAAATGTCGAATATAAACAGTAGTTGTTTAAAGGTAACACATTTTCTTTTCTCATACCAGAAATGACTGCTCTATTTTGGGCCTTCTCTCTTTTAAGCTGTTGCAATTTCTCTCTTTTTTCCAAGCCATTTATTATAATATATTACTACTGCCCTTATGTGTTGCCTAATCATTTTTCTTAAACCCAATGGAAATCGATTTGAACAATTTTTAAACATGTCTAGATGCAGAAATTTACACCCTGAAGGCAATAATTCTGATATTGTTGATCCTGTTCAGCTGTGCAACAGTTCAACTTCCTTTTTGTTCATGGTTACCATAGCAACAGTCAGAAAGAACTGTTATCATCAGACGGATCAGCCTGCAAAAAATTATTTTTATCTCCACTTCCCCATTTCTATGCCTCACACAGCTAGAAGACTGAATGTCCTCGCGGGTTTCACGCTACAGCTTGAGGGTGCAACAAATTTTCATGAATGTGAGAGAATCTGAAGTAAAGAAAAGGACAATCGGGTAGACTGTTACTTGTATGAATGCCAAATATACATTCAGTCCTGGATTTGCACAAACAGGTAGAAAGGAACATGGGGGGGGGGGATGCAGATGTTCTGTAACAGAACATGCAGATAGGGAGGAAGTGTGTCTCATGTTGTGCGTTTAATTTGCACATTTATTTAAATGAATTGCTAAACTCTACAACTGTTTAACCACTGAGTATTTCCATGGTTCATTCTGCTAAAAAGAGTCCACAGGAAAGACTCATACTACAAGCACAGTCTTATTTTGCTTAAATCATTATCAGAATATTTTTTCTAAGAAAATGTCAAGTTGAATCCAAACCATTAATGAATTAATCCGAAAAAGTATCAATTTAACTTTGGATTCTGACTTGAAATACGTTGTTAACTTGAACAAAAGAGTCATATGAATGAGACACTTATTCTTCACCACACCAGTAAGGCACCTCATTTCGATTCAGACCCACATGCAGAAAAAGCTATGCATTTCAGCAACCTGCAGAACTTTTCTAGGTCATGAGCAGGACAGGAGAGCTAAAGTAGTGCAGAGTTTGGACTGAAAAAAGCAAACAGATTTAAACATCGCTCCTGTCAGGTTCTCTGTAGCATGCTGTGATTCAGATTTTTTTAATCACCGTTCACAGGTTCACTGCTATCACAAAAAATAATTTTCATTATCTTAGAGAGTTTTTTGTGAATCTGTTTAAAATGTCTCATTAAAAAAAAAAAAAAGGTAAGGTGGAAACCTGTAACTCAAAAAAGATAATTTGTGGAGAGAATTCTGCAGTGGGCAAATGTGTTGGTTCATTTATTTCACACATTTTCCATAAAAATGCACAAGAGAATTAAAAAGTTCATGGTTGCATGATATTGAAAATAATGGGAAAAGTTAAGAAATTTTATTTTTTAGACCCACTCTTAAATTTCTAGAAATGAACCAGTATCTCTTGTATCAGGGTTCAGAGGTCGGGTTTGTCATTATTAAGGGTTAAAGGGTCATCTTAATGGTGTGCCATCTATACAAAAATAGAGGTTTTCTTTCAGATTTCAAGATAATCTTAAGGTCGAGTAACATGATTGTCTGGTGCTTTTCTCAGATCTGGTAATCATTTTAGATCTTTTTTTTTGGCCATTTTTCTCCAAGGGGCATCAGAGGTGAATTATGAGGACTCAGACACTCTCGTCCTGAAATAATGGGGCAGTTTAAAGCATTACATGTGCTAATGGTCTGCAAATCTGACTCTGGGGATCATATTGAATGTGTCTTCCATCAGTCATTAATATTTATAGCTGATAGGAAAATGTGTCCAAAGCTGCTTCTCATCGTGGACAATGGATATATCTATCTAGATCTGCAGTGATGTTCTTATATAACATTGATATCACTTTAAATAGCATAGTCAGAAAGTGTTTAATTAAGTGCCCTGAAAGAGATGAATGAGATTTATAAAGTTTTCCAGACGACCACAAAAACATGATGGTTTGTTGTCTGATTTAGGTCAAATGAAATGAAATTGCGTTCTGAAGGGTGTTTTTATTCTAAGCAGCATCCATATAAATACTCGCTCAGATTATATGGTTCGGTTAATTGCAAACTAACCTGATTGTGAGTGTGTGGTGGAAGGCAGGAACACTGAGCATCACAAAACTTTACAGGATGTTAATTTCCTCCTGCTCTCCCATTATGTAACACAGGAGCAGCAACAGTATGAGTTGCAAATCACATGACTTGAACTTGAGTCAAACACCAGTCATTAATTGTATGACTGTAGACTTGATTTGAAAAAATGGTCAGGCTTCTGGCTTTTACATAAATGAATCTGGACTTAGATCAGACTTCAACCTGTTTGATCTGACTTGATTTTTCACCAAATCTAAAGCTTTAAGCACTTGTTATTTAAAGGGTGCATGGCATTAATTCCTTTTACTCATCCCATTAACAAATTGAGTCCTTCTCTCTTCTGCAGTGGCCTAGAGGTGTTCTCTTCCTTCCCACACTATGTACCAATGTGCCCATGAGCTACCGCAAGGCCAATCACTTTACCCTAAAAAGTACATATATGCTCCTGAGTGCAAAGTACTTGAAAGAAAACATAATACAACAAAGAAAACAAGCAAATAAAATCACAGATGGGAACAAGCTAGCTTACAACTTTTTTTGAACAAAATTGCTATGATGAGATGGCCGACTTTAGCAAACGCGATCTTTTTAGAAATGCAGCGCTTTCACTGTGTATTGAGATAAGATCCAATTTAAAAAGTGCACATGGTTAATTATCTGCAATTAACATATAATTAAACTTTGTAAAAAAAAAAGACTGAAAAGTACTTCACGTTCAAAGTTTTAAACTTGGGACTTGACTTGAATTACCTGCCTTAACTTGAGAATCAACTCTTACGTGACTGTTTTTCCTTGAGACTTGACTAAGGACTTGTTGAGAAAGACTTGAGTCTTATTTGAGACTTGGATAATGTGACTTGGTTCCACCTCTGTTAAGAAACAACACGTGAACACTTTTGGTGTGTTATTTCTACACGGATAGAATATTTCTTCTGTGGTTGTATTAGGGAAATATAAATGCTCCAGTTCCACTGTTACAACTAAAACAATGTTCTATGCCATATTTAATGTACATAAACAACCCTGAATTATGCTGTATTGTTGGGCAGAGATAATCATAAGGGATTTTCCAGTCTACAGCACACATAAGATCATGTTCTGCATGTAGTTGACAAAAAATGGGCTTGCACTGTCAGTGGTAGAGGGCAAGTGTGAAGTAGCTGAGAAGAGAACTTGGATGTTGGACACATACTCAGTCTAGGAGAAATCTCAGGCTGAGGAATCCCCTAGTTCAATGGTGAAGTACTCTGGAGGGGAGACTCAGGAATAGTCTCTTGAGATGATTCCCACTTTACAGATGACAGATGAAGCTGTTTCCTAGTGATCTTCCCCATACATCAACTGAGCTGAAAGTGGGTGTGACTCCTCAGAATGGATTCAGCAGCATTGTATACATAACCTTGCGCTGCAAGCTGGATTGTCGCGAGATCTGAGTGTTCGGTCTCACAAAAAATCCATCTTGAAAGACTCCCGCTGATACGTCCGTCTCGTAACAATCAGCGGGTTGGACCGATGACATGTAGGAAGTGTTTTTTGGCATGGGACATGTAGGAATGATGACAGTCAGAAGGGCCTTGCCGGGGGATAACCACCATGGCTACGCTGGAGGACTCACCTATCCATAACGCAATTGACTCGTTTTTAGTTAAAATAACGGCAATTTCTTGTTAAACACCAGTGAATTATACATCACTGAAC